ATCAATCACTATTTTACTATAAATGCAAGTCTTTCATTGGTGGAGAGGTTGCAATGACGTCATTAACCAACCCTGGGTCGTTCAAATCCTGTATAATCGAAAACGCTATAAGCTTTGGAAGAAGAGTGAGAAGTACGCAATGGGAACCAGGCGCGCGCAGCTCGCGGCACTGTATTTTTGAGGCGCATTGTACCACGATAACCCCCTTAAGGGGGAACACCACGGTGACGGTTTCAAAAAATCGATTTTTTTTTGCATTTTTGTGATGTTTGGAGTCTTAAAAATATGTCCCTATAATATTATGGTGAAATTCGTAACGGAACTATAGTAAATATGTCATAGAGTAGAACTTGGTCAGATGCCGCTAGTAGAACCGGCCGCACGCTACCTGAAAAGATTCGGCAGTCTCCTTGATCTGTCTGTAGGGAGTTTTACCGGTATTCTTTTGTTGTCTACGTGCTTGAGTTCTATTGCTTCAGAAAACACTTCATATGCACCCGGATTGGACGCACTTTGGTTCGTTACAAAATTTTATCGTTTTATATGAACCAATTAGTTGTAAAACTTTAAACGCGTTTTTCTCGAAACCACGTTTTCGTAACTGGGCGCTCTCATATCTCGGCCAATTTTTATCTGAATAACTTGAAATTTGGACAGAATGTTTACAACAAAATTGTCTTCAGTTGCACGTACGGATTTTTCAATCGGATTATTAGTTTTTGAAAAACAATTAAAGAAGTAACGAATTTTTGTTGAAAAATCGAAAACTTTTTTTTAAACAGTGCCATTTTGTCAAAAATTATTTTATCAAAAAATCCGTACGTGCAACTAAAACTACATTCATATACTTTAAATCACAATTTAAAAAATTTATTTCAGAGCTCTCGTTCAGATGCAGCACGAGCGCCCGTGCACCCATGTTTTTTCAGACGAGGTGCACATCAATCACCATAGTTATTATAAATATGAATATTATTTTATGAAATTTTTTTGTAACATAATATAAGCATGTACTTTTAACATATATAGTTTATAAATTAAAGAAACTATTAGATAATAAAAAAAAATTCACGAAAATAGCCTTTTTTTTCGGCCGTCACCCTGG